TACAGTTGTGTAGACAACTCCTGCATCTCGAGAGGAGCCAGCCGATACGGTACTTTGGCTATTGGAGCCGCACCTGGAACCAAATCAATCCTGAACTCCACCTACCTATCCTGAGGTACCCCTGGCAAATCCTCTGGGAACATATCCAGATAATCCCTCATCATCGACACATCCTCCACGATCGCCTTACCCTTATCCCGGGTATCCATGACATAGGCGACCAAACCCGAGCAACCCTGATGAAGATAGCATCTGCCCTCGCCGCAGAACACATAATTGGCCGACGTTGCGGTCTATCACCCCGAATCACCAACTCTCCCCCACTTGGGGTCCAAACCCACGCTAACTACTGCTCACCGTCGATCACTTCCCCATTAGGGCTCAACCAATCGATGCCTACGATGACCTTGTTCCCACGCAGAAGAATGGGAACCTGATCAATCGGATACCTCTCGGTGAACAACTAGAGAGTACAACCCCGATGAACTCTCACATCCCTAACCGTCCTATCATCAACAATCTCCACATCAAGAGGATGATCCAGCTCCCCTGGAGCCCCAGCAAATCTCTTGCTAAGTGCAAGCGACACAAAATCGGGTAGCCCCCGAATCAAATAATACCAAAACATTGATACCGTTCACAAGGAACGATCCTAAAATAAAACACATAAACATAAGCAACACCTCAATATAAATAAAGAGATAAGGAGAAGATATATACTCGTCACCACATTGGGAGCTGCACGCACCTCCTCTTCCATCAGCTGGAAAGCCCTGCTCTTCGCCGCAGGCGCATCTGCCCGGCCCTGACGGCCATCAATAATCCTCAAAGTCACAGGAGCAGGTGTTGACACCGGTCCGGCTACAGCCAAACTCAGACATTGGGCCTTCTTGTGGCCCATCTGATTGCAATGAAAGCAAATTAGATCTAATCCCTGGGTGGTGGTAGCAATACAATCTCTGCTATAATGACTGGTCCGACCACATTCGAAGCAGCCAGAACCACCACCAATACCACTCCTGCACGCACCCTCGTGCGTCCTGCCGCACTTACCACAATGACTACATCCCTAATGGCCCCTCGATCTGGAATCCGATACCTTGGGCCTCTTACCCAAACCTCCTGATGTCTGAACCTCATCTGTCTTCCTCTTCCTCTCCATCTCCAGGTCAATCTCCCTCTTCCTGGCTCGAGATATCATATCCTCTAACGTCTTGCAGCTGGATCAACTCACAAATTTCTGGATGTCGCTCCTCAGCATCTCATGATATCGGGCCTTCTTTATCTCCTCGTCCGCCACATACTGCAGAACCAGAAGTGCCCTCTCCCTGAAAATAACGGTGATCTCAGCCACCGTCTCAGTAGTCTAGCGGAGATCCTGGAACTCTCACGCCAATTGATGCACCTCAATAATTGGTGCAAACTCAGCTCGAAACCAGGTCGAAAAATCATCCCATCAACATCATCACCCACAACAGTACCTACCTCCATCCACCAGTCTCGAGCCCTATCCTTCAAAAGGCAGGAAGCTAGTCTGACCTTGTCCCCCTCAAGACAACGACTGGTGTGGAAAGCATTAGCAACATCTGCTAACCAACGGCTACTCGCAATGGGTTCCTTTTCCCATGATAGTCTGGAGCTCCACAAGCCCGGAACTCCCTGAATGTCAAAGATCGAGCTCCAGCTATAACCATCATCTCATAAAGAAACGAGCTCAATCGATCCTCCAAAACCTCCAAGATACCCTCATTGACCGAGCCGAAGATCACAGGATTCATATCAAGAATGCAACGAGTAATCTATGACGAGAGAAACTCCCTAGTCTGCTCATCGGGCTGCCCAACTCCAGATCCTGAGCCTGAACCCTCCTCGACACCAGAATTGCCGACTGGTCTGCCTCGAAATACCACCATACTGAAAATAGACCACAAAAACTATCAGTATACGCATCAAAATATACCGGGGAATCACAACCCTACAAGCTTCCTGATTTTATCGCATCCCTCCTTGAATTGAGTATGGATCCTCTATTTCCAGTAGTACAGGCCCATACTACCTTCCATATCTATCCGTACTTTCCTCAAGAATTGCTTTGACTCAACCAGGTTACTCTAAACCATCTATCCATCCCTCACAGATAAGGCTCCCAACACTAGATCTTCTCCTCGGTTTTCCTAGGGCAACTCCACACAACTCTCCGCCATCAGTTGCAGAAGGAATTCCCACTATCTCCTTCTAACTAACTTGAGAATACCATCACATATCACTAAAACTAGATAATCCTTCGAATGAGAGGTCTCACACTACAACAGTTGGACTCAAACAAGAGTTGCACAATAGATTTAAAACCTAAACTTCTAAAATTATTTAGTTCCCATGATATGTAACTTAGCATATTCGTTTATTAGTTAGCTGAAGCTAGTTAGAACTCCTAAAAGCACAAAGCAAACAACATTCGAGCATCAAGTATCAGAATCAAGCACAACCTAATCAGGTCATCCTATCACTGACTTATCACTACTAGCATGCAAGTCTACAAGCTCATACAATAGGCATACAAAGGCATCTCTCCTAGCATTCTTCATGCAAAACTGAGCAGATCCTTATCCCTAACTAGCATGCGATTCACAGATTCACAAATTCAAGCTTATAAAATAACATGTATGGGTATATTGGGAAAACTTACTTGAGCTCGGTCGATTGCATTCACCGCATCCTTTATCTCTTTTTAGAAATCCTTTTTATAAAACGTTTGTTTCTTTTAAAAATTCTACCAAGTCCTTAGTTTGAGTTCAGACACACCCGGGAGTGTGCCTGAATCCCTCAAACCAAGGCTATGATACCAACTTGTAACATCCCAAAATATGGTCCCAAAAATTTCATTTTTAAAATAGATAAAAACAGTATTTCCAAATATCATCCACACATCTCAAAATAACCAATGTATCAAATGTCATAAAAATTAGAGTAAAATATCAGATGTGGAATCCCAATGGTGTGTGCGATGCAGTCAACCCGATCTCTTCCCTTTGCAACTGGAAGTACCTGAAACATAAACTAAAAACAGTAAGCACAAAGCTTAGTGAGTTCCCCAAACTACCCCATACCATACATAACAAATCACATAATGGGCCCCCGCCCGACATCGGGCTCCGCCCGGCATTGAGCCCCGCTCGGTTTACAGATTTGTTATTCTCAAGCCTCGCCTGTCACTGGGCCTCGCCCATAATACACATAAAATCAATATCATATAATCATGTTAACACATATAATGATCATAACACTAGAATATGTTCCAGTTCTTAGGCCTCGCCCGACATCGAGCCCCGCCCGGTATACATATCAACACATAACACATGCAAGGGTTATGCAGACTCCTAGCATCCTAACATAAACAAGAAGGGGCCAAAATTGGTGCCTTCGACCAGCTAAACCCAGTGAGGAAACTCACCTCAAATGTTGAATCTCACAGAAATAAATCCGTAGCTGCTGCCCCTCGCATGAGTACGCTAAGCGTACCTCTTGGTACGCCCCACGTACTTGCTTCATCACTTGTACGCTAAGTGTACCTTGTTGTACGCCCCACGTACAACTCAAGGGTCAAAATGGGAAAAGTTAATAATGCAAGGTCAAAAGAGGAAGTTACCGAGATTCAAGCGTTACACTGATAATCGTGGACTAGGATCTATGAGGATCGGTTTTAGATGGGTATGATTCATCCATAGTTATCTAAGTTTGAAATATATCTATATTAATTGGTAACAGTTGGTTTTGCATGTTTGATAATTAAGAAATATTATCATAATAATATAGTGGGATTGAAATCCCTATGTATCTCACCAAACTTGCCAACCTGAACTACTCATTTTATATGTATCACATGTATCAATGCTTAATGATGCTTAGTGATTAAGAGACAACCTACAATAATGTTCAGGAACGTTAGGCCTTTACGTTGTAACTTATGTACTGTATCGATTTAGGACATACTTAGGTTTTTATTTGAGATCATCATTTTTACTCAAAAAGATTTTAATATACTTGAATTTTCCACAAATAAGGAATTATGAATTTTAAAAGCGTAAAGAAAGTTCCTTTTGGGTTCTGAAAACTAGAGGATGTCACATCCAACTTTTTGTTGTTCATTTCAATATAAAAAATAGTAGATGTTATAATGAATGTTTAATTTAGTTATAGTAATCATCTTTTTGTATTTATGATTGATCTAGTTTTTCTACAATAAACTCTCCATAGATCTTAAAAACCTTGTCCTCGAGTAGTAAAAACAGTGGATGGGAACTTATTGGAAATTAAAATACTCCAGAAAACAACCACTAGATGGAACTTTCCTATGATACCATTTCTTCACTAATTTTATGTTCTTTAAATCACATTGAGTCATGACTAATTGAACACTTGAATTATAAAGAATCTATAAATGGGTTCCCCATTTTCTCTCTGTGGCTCTCAGATATTGCGAAGATAATGCGATGTTTGAGGCAGAGGAATCACCTATAACGATGATACTAATCAACAACTCCTTTTAGAATTATGACACACACCTTTCTCAGTGCCATCCCTTGAATAACCACCACATTTTGAACTTGAGACCTTACCCACACTTTACCCTATGAGCCACCAAGGTGATGGTTAATTATAAATGATCAATCATTCATTAGAACTTTATGGGGATTATTGATATTGTTTAGAAAGATAATTTTAAGGGTCAAAATTTTTTATGCCTTGTCAGTTATGATCTAAAGCTATAGTTTTGAGTATCATATAGAGTACACACATGGACATGAGATACGAATATATTAAATTATTCATTCATTTATTGATTTCATGAAATATATAATATATAAGTAGATATGAAACATGCAACTTCAATATCAAAGCCAAACCATCCATGATACTTGATGTTTATTTAAAAATAGATAGGGATATGGTATGATGTTTTCTCCCGTTTATTCTAAAATTTCACTTTCAAGTGAAGATGATCAGGCTGAATCAGGAGTTGCAGGAGATCCTTCATTGTAGTGGAAGACGTTGTTACCCTTTCCGCTTTCATCTCCAATTCCAACGCTATTGTTATTTACACTGCCAGAACCATTGACGGTTTCGTTGCCGTTTTGGGAAACATTTCCACGAATGACACTATTATTCTTTCTACTGATGGCACCATTATTGCTTCCACTTTTGTTTCCGATATTGTTCTGGCTACCATTGTTGTTTAAGTTATTTCTGTTATTAGTCACAACATCATTGTTTTCGATATTTGGGTAGCCATTTTTGTTGACGGCGTATCTTTTGTTCTTGTTGTTTATGTTTGGTCCGTTAACATCATTACAACTAAGATCATTATTCACACATCCTTCTCCTTGTATATTCTTGATGCTTTCTTTATTATCATCAGCATGACTTATTCCAATACCTCCCTTAAGCATTCCTCCTATGTTTTCCTTGAGAGATTTTTTTCTATAATACTCATGCCCTCCTCTACATGTCATGTCTCCTGTGGAACAACCAATATTACTTGTACCCACACGATATCGAAGGGGTAGTTTTTCCTTTCCAGCAAGCCTTGTACCATGAGCAATATTAGTTGTGAAAATCAAAAACCCAAAAAATATGCCAATGAAAAGTTTAATTGCCATCATATAGGCTTCTAATTTTATATCAATGACTATCGATAAGTGATAACTTAATCACATGTATATATAAGGATTTAAGTGGGAGAAAATTTAATAGGGTAGTTAATATAAAATGAATAAATAGTTTTGTGTCTTAAAATACATATCGATATTATTATGTTATATACCATACCACCCGAATGATTTGACAAAACCATCAAACACTTTTCTCTTTGTTTTTCATTTTACTAAAAATGTTAAGTACATTCATGTATATATAAGGATTTAAGTGGGAGCAAAATTAATGAGGTAGTTAATATAAAAATGAATAAATAATTTTGCGTCTTAAAATACATATCGATATTATTATCTTAAATACTATACCACCCGAATGATTTGACGAAACCATCAAACACTTTTCTCTTTGTTTTTCATTTTACTAAAAATGTTTAAGTACATTCATGTTATTTTATTATTAAAAATATATAATAAAACTGGAGAACTCATCAAAAACAATACCATATTATTTGTGTTTTTGAACTTAAGCATTTTCTAAATTTATTGAATAATCCACTAATATAAAGTTTTAAAAATTTAAGATATCTATGTTATTTTAAAGAGACTCCAAGTATAAGAAATGTTTTATCACTCCTCTTTCCTTTTATTTTTCATTTACATACAAAATGTTTATATGACCTTTGTATATACTCATTCATATCTTCTGGATATATCTCATGTAAAAAAATAGTAAATCCTACAAGTGATGGCCTTCATGAAATATGTCCCAAGATCCATCATGTTAGAGGTCATGGAGCACTAGGACTATTTTCAGCATGACAAGATTTGAACCCTTAACTTTCTTGTGCGAAGTTTTGCATCTTAACTACTAGGTTCCTATCGCGGGGACATATGTTTTGTTTTCTCTTCCAAGTTCCAATTATAACAGCTAAATATAATATGTTTATAATACTTATTTAAAAAATGATGTGTGTTCTGAAAGGTTGATTACATAAAGAAAAAAAAAGATATAAGTTATACTTACTTTTTGCATTTAGTTAGATTCTACAAAATATCATTTATAAATTATATTCTTAATTAACTTGACACATAAGGAAACAAGTAAAAAAAACTCTTGTTAAAATATTTTGTTAATGGATCAAGATTACTTAGTCGTTTTTAGTTTTACATATATGGTTTTTGAATATAATTAGTGGGGTGTCATGTGTTGTAGCATATTTACTAATTATATATTCTCAATACTATTTATATATTTACTAATTATATATTCTCAATACTATTTACCTAATGTTTTCTTACACATAAATTATTTCTTTGACTTTGTTACTAAATCGATACCATTACTATAATTTTGTTTAACATACAAACCATTTCTATTACATAGGGACCAATTATGTAATATCATTATTACACGTGGACCATTTTTATACTATAGGGATGAAATTTATAACCAATACAAATTATATACTTTAACCAAAACTCATAGGACTTGGATAGTCTTGCCAATTCAATAAATAGCCAAAATAAATCGGTCATCGATTGCCCAAATCTTTGGCTTATCTTTAGGAGTTAATTGGGATTGCTTTTGATTTATTTTCTTCTATAAGATCTCTATATAAGAGTCATGTTTTGTCACACCCCCGCCGACGACGGAAAGGTGGGGTGTGCGACGTCAACAAAGTATCACAGTGCAAAACATATATTGAACAATATATAAAATAGTATAAGATTCCAATATCTGACATCATCAGTTGTATCTTACATCATTACAAACGTCGTTGTATATCTTCAACGGTAAAAACAGTTGTGATAATACGTAGTCAACATCAATAGTACAAAATAAGGGTTCCATAACTTTCGTGTGTGAAACTTCAACACCTTAATTTCATGAGAATATATGTATTAAAGATAAATAAAAAAATATTGTTGGTGAGTTCCACAGGTTTTGACTCTGTGTAATTTTATGACCAAAAGAGTATTTTATATAAAAATGATGTATATCGAATTATATAAAATAAAGATACTTTTTCCAACTAAAAGTATAAAAATATGACTTGTTTTCACACTTGCAATCCCTTGAAAGTAAAAGTGTTGTTTATGTACCCAAATTACTAAGTATAAGTTTATAAACCATAAAAGAAGGGAGGTCGTGTTGTAATATATATCAAGTATTGTTCTACTTAATTCATTAACTGACACTTATCCACCGGAGAAAAACATTCCTACTACCTACGGTCCTATTTCAACCCATCTGAGTAATCAAACGACGTATAAATACTATTTAAATTCTATACGTGTATTTGTTAAGGAAAACTTTAAGTCTGTAGTGAGCCTATAACCGAACTATGGACGATCAAACTTCTACACCGACACTACAAGGAGGCGTGCTGAAAAACATCACCAACGCTTCATCGACGTCATGAAATAATAAGTGATTGAACGTCAACGCCCATTTCGACTCGTGAGATGATGATTGTAGCTAGCAACCACTGGCGGGGCTGTCAACCCGTATAGATCTATACAATCCGTTTCTTGTTCCTTGCGGATTAATAGTTACAAAACGAAGGGTTTTTACTAAGATTTGTGATCCTCGTTGATGAAGGAGAACATCTCATATAGGGAGTCCCGAGTTTAATAGATCTTATCAATGTGTGTATGTATTTCAGTCCTAAACTTTTAGTTAAAGGTTTGTTAGACTTGACATTACGAAAAATTGTATCAAATTTTGTAATAAAAATCGGGCAGCATGACCGTTGCGTTTTGACCAAAAACCAGGTTTCAACCAATATCAGAAACCAAAAATTCCAATAAAAATCACAAGTTTACAAAATCATTAAAAAGACATCATTTATAATAAAACGACATTTTATCGTATATAACCGACATGCTTTTATAACTATCGAAGTTTATAGCAATGTATATAATAGTTATATTTTTATATTGAAACATAAAAATAAAAACATATTGGGTTTAGTTTCACACATACATATACATTGTGCAATTATATA